TCAGAATTTGGAGACCCCATTGATCAGTATTTTGCCATATCAGAATTTGGGGACCCATTGATCAGTATTTTGCCATATCAGAATTTGGGGACCCCATTGATCAGTATTTTGCCATATCAGAATTTAGAGACCCTATTGATTAGTATTTTGCCATATCAGAATTTAGAGACCCCATTGATCAGTATTTTGCCAAATCAGAATTTGGGAACCCTATTGATCAGTATTTTGCCATATCAGAATTTGGAGACCTCACTGATCAGTATTTTACCATATCAGAATTTGGAGACCCCATTGCTCAGTATTTTGCCAAATCAGAATTTGGAGACCCCAGTGATCAGTTTTTTGCCATATCAGAATTTGGAGACCCCATTGATCAGTATTTTTGCCATATCAGAATTTGGAGACCCCATTGATCAATATTTTTGCCATATCAGAATTTGGAGACCCCATTGATCAGTGTTTTGCCATATCAGAATTTGGAGACCCCCATTGATCAGTATTTTGCCAAATCAGAATTTGGGGACCCTATTGATAAGTATTTTACCATATCAGAATTTGGAGACCCCATTGATCAGTATTTTGCCATATCAGTATTTGGAGACCCCATTGATCAATATTTTGCCATATCAGAATTTGGAGACCCCATTGATCAGTGTTTTGCCATATCAGAATTTGGAGACCCCATTGATCAGTATTTTGCCAAATCAGAATTTGGGGACCCTATTGATTAAATATTTTACCATATCAGAATTTGGAGACCCCATGATCAGTATTTTGCCAAATCAGAATTTGGGGACCCTATTGATAAGTATTTTACCATATCAGAATTTGGAGACCCCATTGATCAGTATTTTGCCATATCAGAATTTGGAGACCCCATTGATCAGTATTTTGCCATATCAGAATTTGGAGACCCCATTGATCAGTATTTTGCCATATCAGAATTTGGGGACCACTATTGATCAGTATTTTGCCATATCAGAATTTGGGGACCCTATTGATAAGTATTTTGCCATATCAGAATTTGGAGACCTCATTGATCAGTATTTTGCCAAATCAGAATTTGGGGACCCCATTGATCAGTATTTGCCATAAAAGAATTTGGAGACCCTATTGATTAGTATTTTGCCATATCAGAATTTGGAGACCCCATTGATCAGTATTTTGCCATATCAGAATTTGGAGACCCCATTGATCAGTATTTTGCATATCAGAATTGGGAGACCCATTGATCAGTATTTTGCCATATCAGAATTTGGAGACCCCATTGATCAGTATTTTGCCATATCAGAATTTGGGGACCCCATTGATCAGTATTTTGCCATATCAGAATTTGGGGACCCTATTGATAAGTATTTTGCCATATCAGAATTTGGAAACCCCATTGATCAGTATTTTGCCATATCAGAATTTGGAGACCCTATTGATTAGTATTTTGCCATATCAGAATTTGGAGACCCTATTGATTAGTATTTTGCCATATTAGAATTTGGAAACCCCATTGATCAGTATTTTGCCATATCAGAATTTGGAGACCCCACTGATCAATATTATACCACATCAGAATATGGAGACCCCACTGATTAGTGTTTTACGATATTAGAATTTGAAGATCCTGACGATCTGTATTCTACTATATCAAAAATGGTCAGAAAGCCAGACGCTCAGATGAATGCCCAGAAGTTGGTCACAAATGGAATCACACAGAAGGCTGCTCACAGTTCCAGAGGAACAAAATGGAAAGACCAAAAAAACATCAACAGGAGTGCTTAGTGATCACTAGGCACTTCTGTTGATGTTATTTTGTTTGGTCTTTCCATTCTACCATATCAGAATTTGGAAACCCCATTGACTTGTATTTTTCATCATATCAGAATCAGGAGGCAAATTGATCAGTATTTTACTATATCAGAATTCAGAGATCCCATTGATCAATATTATACCACATCAGAAATCCTAGACCCCATTGATCAGTATTTTATGGCATCAGAATCTAAGACCCTGCCGATCAGTATTCTACCATATAAGAATTTGGAAACCCCATTGATGAATATTTTACCTTATCAGAATCTGGGATCAGTAATTTTACTATATCAGAATTGAGAAACCCATTGATTAGTATTTTACCATATCAGAATTCTTTTTTTTTAACATGTAAAAATCAGGCGCGCAATCCACTCTGTATAAAATAAATCAAACCATGATGTACACCCAATAATTAACAACATGACAAATTATCAACCTTGTCAGTATAGCACAAAGAGTCCAAATAAAGGAAAAAATATACTCACTGGCCACTTTATTAAGTACTCTCCTTGCTACCTGGTGTGGTCTTCTGCTGCTGTAGCCCATCTGCATCAAGGTTCAATGTGTTGTGCGTTCAGAAATGGTTATTCTGCGTACCTTGGTTGTAGCGAGTGGTTATTTGAGTTACTGTTGCCTTTCTATGATATCCAACCAGTCTGCCCATTCTCCTCTGACCTCTGACTCAACAAGACATTTTCATCCATGCAACTGCCACTCACTGGACATTTTCTCTTTTTTTGACCATTCTCTGTAAACCTAGAGATGGTTGTGCATGAAAATCCCAGTAGATCAGCAGTTTTGAAATACTCAGACCAGTCCGTCTGGCACTAACAACCATGCCACGTTCAGAGACACTTAAATCCCCTTTCTTCCCCATTCTGATGTTCGGTTTGAACTTCAGCAAGTCGTCTTCACCACGTCTAGATGCCTAAATACATTGAGTTGCTGCCGTGTGATTGGCTGAATAGCAATTTTGTATTACCAAGCAATTGAACAGGGGGACCTAATAGAGAGGAGGGTGAGTGTATAAATATATAATTTTGTATCTTCTGTGATCATTTATCTTCAAGTACTATTGAGTATGAATCCCTCCAAATAGCTCAGTCCTATACACCAGTGCTCACAAAGAGCTGACTGGGGGGTATTGACTTTATTATGAATTGAGATCTACAGTGCGTGTTTAATCTCTTCATGACACCCTTAGGCATATGCAGTATGTGGCAGCATGATAGGTGGGAACTAACACCCAGCCTCTGCATATGTGTTGTTCTAAGGCACAGGTGTCAAACACAAGTCACCATTTCTCTCTTGGTGTGTCAGGAAAACTCATTAGAAATGATTCATGCTGATAGCAGAGGAATAAGGCAGCAGACAGAAATGTCACTTAGTGCTGAGAGACAAGTACACACTATAGAGGGATAGAGAAATGAAAGAAAGAAAGAAAGAAAGAAAGAAAGAAAGAAAGAAAGAAAGAAAAAGAAAGAAAAAGAAAAAGAAAGAAAGAAAGAAAAGAAAGAAAGAAAGAAAGAAAGAAAGAAAGAAAGAAAGAAAGAAAGAAAGTAGGCAGCAGACAGAAATGTCACTTAGTGCTGAGAGACAAGTACACACTATAGAGGGATAGAGAAAAGAAAGAAAGAAAGAAAGAAAAAAAATGAAAAAGAGAGAGAAAGAAAGAAAGGAAAGAAAAAGAGAAAGGAAGGAAAGAAAGAAAGAAAGAAAGAAAGAAAGAAAGAAAGAAAGAAAGAAAGAAAGAAAGAAAGAAAGAAAATAAAGAGAGAGAGAAAGAAAAGAAAGAAGGCAGCAGACAAAAATGTCACTTAGTGCTGAGAGACAAGTACACACTATAGAGGGATAGAGGAAAGAAAAGAAAGAAAGTGGAAAAGAAAGAAAGAAAGAAAGAAAGAGAGAGAGAGAGAGAAAGAAAGAAAGAAAAAAAAGAAAAGTAAAAAAAGAAAAGAAAGAGAAAAGGAATATGGCAACAGACAAAAATGTCACAGTGCTGAGAGACAAGTACACACTATAGAGGGATAGAGGAAAGAAAAGAAAGAAAGTGGGAAAGAAAGAGAGAGAGAGAGAGAGAGAGAGAGAGAGAGAGAGAGAGAGAAAGAAAGAAAAAAGAAAAGTAAAAAAAGAAAAGAAAGAGAAAAGGAATATGGCAACAGACAGAAATGTCACTTAGTGCTGAGAGACAAGTACACACTATAGAGGGAAGAATGAAAGAAAAGAAAAGACAACAAGTGAGATTGCTATTCACCCAGGGGGTATAGCTCAGTGGTAGAGCATTCGACTGCAGATCGAGAGGCCCCCGGTTCAAATCCGGGTGCCCCCTCAGAAGTTTTGGATATCTATGTATCTAACTATCAACATTTCAAAGCAGAAAAAAAGAAAAAGCACGACGGACAGACGCAGACGGCAGAGCATTTCACGGCAAACACAGATACTCTGCTTTGAGCTGAACGACAAACTCAAATAATCCTCCAGACACGATTGTGACGTGAAGAAAGCTCCGAGTTGAACCCTCTGGACACGTTAGAGTCCGATGGAAGAGATTGTCACTTGAAAAGACCTTTATCCCCTGGGCAGCCGGAGCCATTTTTGCACTTTCAGCCTGGAGAGTAAAAAAAGTGTTACTAAACCCACAACAGAAAAATGAAAAATTAGTGGGGGGGGGGGGGGGGGGGGGTGTTGGAAGCAATCTGGTAGTCGGAAGTCAGTTTGTCAGATATACTCACAATCCCAGCTGCTTCAGCCACTGGATGTGTGTTACCCCCCCCCCCCCCTCCCATGACATATGAACCCACAACAGTACAATCAGTCTGTAGATGCAGTAAAGCGTGCTTGTTATACTCACTGTTGAACCCAAGGGGTTAATCCTCCACATTGTGTAATAAAGGCTGTTTGATTCTGTTTTCTCGGATCCTCCTCTTCTTCCAGTGTCCCCCTCTTATCTCCTGATAAGGCATATCTTGTGCAATCACTCTGTACATGCTCAGTCAGGTGTGTATTGCTAGAGAAGTTTTTTTCTGTTCTTGGAAGAGTGCAAGTGAAGGGCCAATCAGCACTGTCCAGACAGAGGTCAGGGGTCCTGCATCCTCCTAGAGCAAAATGAAAGCTCCTACATGCTTCAACCAGTGCACTGCTGGACACTGATAGAAATCAGGACACTGCTATATACTGCTGATGAGAAAAGGTATTTATCAGTTTATATTTACTATAATAATTGCATTTCCATGTTGTGTGTACTGTGGGAGAGCGGATATAGTGAATGCGGGGTCCTGGGAGACCAGATATAGTGAATGCAGGGTCCGGGGAGAGCGGATATAGTGAATGCGGGGTCCTGGGAGACCAGATATAGTGAATGCAGGGTCCGGGAGACCGGATATAGTGAATGGGGAGAGCGGATAGGAATGTAGGGTCCGGGGATATAGACCGGGATATAGTGAATACCGGGGAGGGTCCGGGGAGAGCGGATATAGTGAATGCGGGGTCCGGGGAGACCGGATATAGTGAATGCGGGGTCCGGGGAGAGCGGATATAGTGAATGCGGGGTCCGGGGAGACAATACAGGGTCCGGGGATATAGTGAATGCGGGGTCCGGGGAGACCAGGGAATGAGAGGGGAGACGGATATAGTGAATGCGGGGTCCGGGGAGAGACCGGATATAGTGAATGCGGGTCCGGGGAGAGCGGATATAGTGAATGCGGGGTCCGGGAGAGACAAGATATAGTGAATGCGGGGTCCGGGGAGAGCGGATATAGTGAATGCAGGGTCCGGGGAGAGCGGATATAGTGAATGCAGGGTCCGGGAGAGCAGATATAGTGAATGCGGGGTCCGGGGAGAGCGGATATAGTGAATGCAGGGTCCAGGGAGAGCAGAGAGCGATATAGTGAATGCGGGGTCCGGGAGACGGGTGAATCCGGGGAGAGCGGATACAGTGAATGCGGGGTCCGGGGAGAGTGAAGCGGATATAGTGAATGCAGGGTCCGGGGAGAGCGGATATAGTGAATGCAGGGTCCGGGGAGAGCGGATATAGTGAATGCGGGGTCCGGGGAGAGTGGATATAGTGAATGCAGGGTCCGGGGAGAGTGGATATAGTGAATGCAGGGTCCGGGGAGAGCGGATATAGTGAATGCAGGGTCCGGGAGAGCGGATATAGTGAATGCAGGGTCCGGGGAGAGCGGATATAGTGAATGCGGGTCCGGGGAGAGCGGATATAGTGAATGCGGGGTCCGGGGAGAGCGGATAGTGAGCAGGGTCCGGGAGAGCGGATGTGAATGCGGGGTCCGGGTGAGTGGAGCGGATATAGTGAATGCGTGGCAGGGTCCGGGGAGAGCGGATATAGTGAATGCAGATATAGTGAACGCGGGGTCCGGGGAGAGCGGATATAGTGAGACTGGATATAGTGAATGCAGGGGTCCAGGGAATTAGTAACACTTTTAATTTAATTTTTGACTGAGCCCCCCCCATGTGATAGTGAATTGTTGATGACAGTTACTTTTTATGAAGACATTAGGGGTTTATTAGACCCCCAATATACTGGGCCCTAGCAGATCTAGTACTTGAGCTTTTGTTATCTTGGCTTGTAGCAGCTGAGATCTGATAGCTCTGAACCCGGAGGTGCCATTTCCAGGTTTGCACCTCACAGGGGAGATATTGAAATGGAGATTTGCCTCCACTCCGCTCTCCTTCCTGAGGTCTACAGTGGATGTCTCGGAATTCTGCAGAACTCGGGTGAACCTGGGATATAGGTGGGGGAGGGGACACGTTTGTTAACGTGTAGAAGTACAAAGCCGCCTAATCTTCTGCTGGAGAGCCCAAAGCTGGCTGAGACAGGCTCATCGCGGTACTTGCAGCTGTAAATGGGTTAAAAAATCTTTCCTGGCGCCAACATGGCGGCATATTACCACATGTAAGCTGCCGTGGATTGGCTCCAGGAAAGGAAAATTACGGCAAGTACTTGATTCAATTTTCCGTCTTCAAAATATTTACTCTTTGCTCAGACTCCATACTGGCCGCAGCCTACAGCACAGAGAAATCTGGAACACAGGGAACAATAAATCCTCAGCCATGTCTGCCTTTTTTTTTTTCTTCAGATAAAAGTTAAATTTGTTCCATTTAGATACACTTTAAATGTAGATGCGAGAGAAGCCAAAATCTTCCAGGGGGCACCCGGATTTGAACCGGGGACCTCTCGATCTGCAGTCGAATGCTCTACCACTGAGCTATACCCCCTCGCTGGTTACTTAAAAAAAAAAAAAAAAGGGAAAATTGAAAAGAAGAATACTAATGTAATTTCTACATTTAAAAAAATAATAATAAATACAGAATTCCAGGTATGATAGGTATTGTTAAATAGGTCCAGCTTGGATCAATGTACGTATGCATATGGGATCCCTGTGGAAGCGGAGAGTCTCTGTTTCATTCACCCCTACTATAGTGATTGGGTCCCGTGGTGTATAGTGAACTCCAGAGGTCACTTGCCTGACACCGACCTCTATTCACAGAATGCCTTGCATTTTTCTCAATGACTGCAAGGTATTCTCTGACTGGACAAGGTGGAGAGGTGGGGCAGTGACATATAACATAAAAACTTGCAACTACCAACATTTTTCTTCCATGGTCTCTGCTTTCAGAAAATATTAAATATTTGGGGGATTCCAGGCTATAACTGACTAAGCTTCAAACTGCCCCCACCCCACCTTCTAACACTTATACTAACCACCCTGTAGAAGGAAGATGCATATATGGGCAGCATAGATCAAGTGTCCCCATCAGAGTGCCCCCATAGAGTGGGTGTCCCTATCAGAGAGCCCCATAGATCAGGTATCCCCATCAGAGTGCCCCTTTACATCATACTGTCCCCATCAGAGGGCAGGTGTCCCCATCAGAGAGCCCCTTTACATCAGATGTGCCCCCATAGATCAGGTGTACTCATCAGAGCGGGTGTCCCTATCAGAGTGCCCCATAGATCAGGTGTCCCCATCAGAGTGGGTGTCCCTATCAGAGTGCCCCATAGATCAGGTGTCCCCATCAGAGTGCAGGTGTCCCCTTCAGCGTGTCTCCATCAGGGAGCAGGTGTCCCAATCAGAGTGCCCCTTTACATCAGATGTGCCCATCACAGTGCCCCCATAGATCAGGTGTCCCCATCAGAGTATCCTTTTACATCAGTGTGTCCCTATCAGAGAGCAGGTGTCCACATCAGAGATCAGGTGTCCCTTTACATCAGAGGGCAGCTGTCCCCACCAGAGTGCTCCTTTACATCAGGTGTCCCCACCAGAGTGTCCCTTTACATCAGAGTGTCCCCATCAGAGGGCAGATGTCCCTATCAGAGTGCTCCTTTACATCAGGTGTGCCCATCAGAATGCCCCTTTACATCATAGTGTTCCCATCAGAAATCACTGATACCCTGCAGGTCTCCTGCAGAATATCTGCTTTCTGTACGGGGTGTATGGGATGTATGGGGTGTACGAGATGTACGGGATGTACGGAATGTACGGGGTGTATGGAATGTAGGGGATGTAAAGAATGTATGGAATGTACGGGGTATACGGGATGTATGGAATGTATGAGGTATACGGGATGTACGGTGTGTATGGGGTGTACGGGGTGTACGGGATGTACGGGGTGTACGAGATGTACGGGATGTACGGGATGTACAGGATGTACGGGATGTACGGGGTGTATGGAATGTACGGGATGTATGGAATGTACGGGGTGTACGGGATGTATGGAATGTACGGGGTATACGGGATGTACGGTGTGTATGGGATGTACGGGGTGTATGGGGTGTATGGGATGTACGGGGTGTATGGGGTGTACAGGGGTATATGGGATGTACAGGGGTGTGTATGGGATGTACGGGGTGTATGGGATGTATGGTGTGTATGAGGTGTACGGTGTGTATGGGATGTACGGGGTGTACGGGATGTACGGGGTATACGGGATGTACGGTGTGTATGGGGTGTACGGTGTGTATGGAATGTATGGGGTGTATGGGGTGTACGGTGTGTATGGAATGTACGGGGTGTATGGGGTGTACAGGGGTATACAGGATGTACAGGGTGTATGGGATGTACGGGGTGTATGGGATGTATGGTGTGTATGGGGTGTACGGTGTGTATGGGATGTATGGGATGTACGGGGTGTACAGGAATGTACGGGGTATACGGGATGTACGGTGTGTATGGGGTGTACGGTGTGTATGGGGATGTACGGGGTGTATGGGTGTACGGGGTATACGGAATGTACAGGGTGTATGGAATGTACGGGGTATATGGGATGTACGGTGTGTATGGGATGTACGGGGTGTATGGGGTGTACAGGGGTATATGGGGTGTACGGAATGTACGTGGTGTACGGAATGTACGGGTGTACAGGGTGTATGGTGTGTACGGAATGTACTGGATGTATGGTGTGTACGGGGTGTATGTACTGGATGTATGGTGTGTACGGGATGTACGGGGTGTATGGTGTGTACGGGATGTACTGGGATGTATGGTGTGTACGGGATGTATGGGGTGTATGGTGTGTACGGGATGTACGGGGTGTACAGGATGTATGGGGTGTACGGGATGTTCAGGGTGTACAGGATGTATGGGGTGTACGGGATGTATGGGGTGTATGGGTGTGTACGGAATGTACGGGGTGTATGGTGTGTACGGAATGTACGGGGTGTACAGGATGTATGGGGTGTATAGTGTGTACGGGATGTACAGGGTGTACAGGATGTATGGGGTGTACGGCGATATATGGGGTGTACAGGATGTATGGGGTGTACGGGATGTACGGGGTGTAGGGGATGTACAGGATGTATGGGGTGTACGGGATGTACGGGGTGTAGGGGATCTTTCCCCTGCCTGAACTGGCTGAGGTCAGCCGATGTTGGACTTCAGTCCACTGTCAGCTGAAAACGGGTGACAGGAGTGCAGAACGAACTACACTCCTGTGATCCACATGGGAAGTCTGGCCAGGAGATCTTTGCCTCTTCTTTTCCTTTAAGAGTTTTTTTTCTTTTTACATTAATACATTCTGTACATTGAGGGTTAAAGTCTTTTCAGGATACAATCTGTCCATTTACAGTCAATTGTGCCCAGAGGCACTTTCAGAGACGTTTATCTGGGAGAAGGGTCATCTCTATTTGTATGTAAACCTTCTACAATATCTGTCATTTTCTAGGTGTGTGGGGGGGGGGGGGGGTTGTCTCAAAGTGCACTGCAGAGAAATCTTTAAATTTAGATGCAAGAGAAGCCAAAAACTTCCAGGGGGCACCCGGATTTGAACCGGGGACCTCTCGATCTGCAGTCGAATGCTCTACCACTGAGCTATACCCCCTACATGACAGGTGAATTGTTTTTTTGTGTTCCTCTTTCTATCCAAAAGCCGTCCAATGACCATATTGTTGTTCTCTGGGACGTTTCGTATTGCGAAAAATTCGTAAACTGAAAAACCAACTGAAAACCAATTAATCCGTTCCGGAGGTCAGAAAAAAGTAAAAAAAAAAGTCTTATCGGTTCAAAATTCTTTACTAAGTGCACTTTAAAGGCACGGGGCCGGCGCTTCAAACCTCCCTGGCGCAATGCATCCTGGGGAAACTTGATTCGTATTGCGAAAAAAATTTGTAAAACCGAAAATTACATTAACCGAGGTGTTCATAATCCTAGGTACGCCTATATATATATATATTGCCAAACGTATATATAAGTATGTGATTCAGCCAATCGTATTGTGATTCAGGTGGTCCAATCCCCTCCAATCATGTGATTCAGGTGTTCCAATCCCCTCCAAGTCATGTGATTCAGGTGTCCAATCCCCTCCATTCAGGTGGTCCATCCCCTCCGTATCATGTGATTCAGGTGGTCCAATCCCCTCCCAATCATGTGATTCAGGTGGTCCAATCCCCTCCGTATCATGTGATTCAGGTGGTCCAATCCCCTCCAATCATGTGATTCAGGTGTTCCAATCCCCTCCATGGACACAGGGTATACAATCAAGCCCCTAGGCATGCAGACTGCTTCTACAAACATTGGTGAAAAAATGGGTCGCTCTCAGGAGCTCAGTGACTCCAAGCGTGGTCCCGTGATAGGGGCCACCTGGGCAATAAGATCTTTGCATTTAGATACAAAGGTAACCAAAAACTTCTCAGGGGGCACCCGGATTTGAACCGGGGACCTCTCGATCTGCAGTCGAATGCTCTACCACTGAGCTATACCCCCTGCATGAAAGGTGAGGTTTTTTGTGTTCCTCTTTCTATCTCAAAGCCGTCCAATGACCACATTGCTGTTGTTTCCTTTGTCAGGGGCAGGGGCGAACTGACTATTTGTGGAAACTCGGGCACTGCCCGAGGGCCCGGGGTCAGTAGGGGGCCCCATGAGATGCCCCTGGTACCTTTTTC